AGCTTATTTCAAGCATATTGTGTAACAGGTGGTCTTTTTATTAAAACGAGACAACATTTCATACAAATTGTTTACTTTTCTAAAAAAAACGTTCAGGGGGCCTTGATGCCTAAATAAATGTTGACACTTTTGTTCAAAATTCAGAAGAAAAACTGACATTTCTTTAAGTATTGTTCAATTGTTCAACTTCTTAAAACCGTACTTAATAGCATTTCTATCTGTTGTTAGTTGGCTATGACTCAACAACTAACACTAAGGATACCTATTAAATAGGCAATATTTCAAAAATTGCGCATTTTTGAAATAGACTACTTTATGCAAACTTAGCATTATTTATGTGCTTAATAAAACACGTTTATAACCTTCGGGTGTTTCCTAATTAAGTATAATTGAAGGCAACAGGAGTAACAAAAATTTGCAATTGTGACGTCAAACGCAAACGTCATTTTTGACAAAAAAATGAAAATGTAAAAAGGTTAAATTCAGGTATGGGTCATTATGTATGAAATGAATACAGTTCTAAAAATCTATAATATAGGGTGTTCTATTTAAACTAAATAAGCAAGTATAATTGGAAACTCTTACTGACAGTGCATTATCAAATTTTCAAAATATTGTTTGCTTTTCGAGATATAGATAGTCGGCATTCGTCTTGGAGCACCTGTACAGGTTGTGCGGGCCTATATTATTATTTAACAAAAAAGTGAATTATAACAACACCTGACAAGTACACATTTTCGACCCCTAATAGAGAGATATGTCACGTAACAATGCCGTCAAAAGCACTTGCCCCTGTATGTCAGTTGATTGAGGGTGTTAAATAATCAATGCGTGATTATAACGCTAAACACGTAGGTATATTTGCTGAAGGGCTATTAAGCTCGTATACTGTAGATTTCGACGACAACGTTCGTCATGGTTAAAACACTTTATCTAGATATTGTGTCGAAATAATAGATATGTGGCCTAGATTCACCCCTTCGAATTCAATTAAATGTTGTCGCGTCATTCTTCCTTTCATGTGTGAAACTATTTGCGTAGTAGACAATTTTATAGTCCGGTATGTCTCACTGACAGACTAAAGTCAAAAAACAAATAAAAAATTTGTAAATTTGTCATTATAACTCTACTGAATCTTGGGCGTTAATAGTCCAACAGTAGAACCCTTGCATGGCTGGCGCAATAATGTGCAATTTTTGACTCGAAAAAACCATCCAGGTCTCTCCCAGCAAAGAACGGAATCCTAGGTGCAGCAAAATTTGAAAACAAACAATTTACAGCAATTTCATTGACTAGACGATGTTGTTTTAACTAACCTTAATATTAGTTAGCTAGAAATCAGTTCCGGAAATCGTTGAACCGCATCTGTCCGGAATCTGCCGGATTAAAATTGCAAATTTAGCATGAGATCATCTGTGGATAGTGTTTATACTTGGAATTGAATCTAGTTCTCCTTTAATTGATGGTTCATAAATTAAGAAAACGAATCAACGATTAAATATGGCCGTGCTTTATGAATTGGAAACCATTTTGCGGGTGGTAGTAAATTAAGAAGGACAGTAGGGATCATTACGGTGAGATTTGGCAGGCATTCCTTCTTGGGCTACCAGATAGTTTAGAATGTGATCCAAGATATTAGTTTATTTCGAGCACTAAACTCAAGTTCTGTTTCTGAATTGCGGAAGCATTAACCGTACCGTTCAGAGTAAAATTTTGATTCGGGTTGGTACCATTGAGTATGCACGGTGTAGTTCAGCTTCAGTATATAGATTTTGTATTACATTTTCGTGTGATTGAAGAAATTTGCTTTGAGTAGAATTAACACGGAAAAGTTTTGCAGACGGATTCGGTCTTTTGGTCGCGGGGGCATTAATTTCGCAATTATCAGTTAGATTAAGTAGTACTTACAAACGAGTTAAGTCTCAGTAACATTTATGAGGGGTAACCCTACCAGAACGATCTAATCGAATGAGCTTAAGTGACGCAGGAATAAGGCATCGCTTATAAAACAGTGACTCGTAGCAACCAAAGTGGATCAACTACCCCGCTCGGCTGTCGTGTCGTGGTCAAGAGCTTGCACGGGTTAAACGGCGCCAACACGTGCTCATGTCCGTCGACCATGTCGATATACCGCGCACTAACCTGGGGGGGTTAATGGTTAATGGTGCGGGAGGGGAGGGGTCTTGGCTGGATCCAGAGGAGACAACCTCAGCAAATAACCTAAATCCCAATGGTCAGAGGGCCGGATCGAGTTCGAGTCGCCTTACACGTGTGCAGGGGGCACCGCACGTGTGGTCACTTCTTTCCCCCTTTTTCGTGGGACTTATATGGACCTGGCAAAATGAAAACAATAAACTACTCTCGAATCACCTGGTACTGAAGGATCTAAAAACTCTCCTGGACAGCGGGCCGGAAGCTAAAAAACGAGGTAAGAACCCGGGGACTCTACGCAACCTGATCTCCCATCTGCTGAAGTAGGTAGCAAGGTTGTACTAAAGATAAGGACGCAAAAGCTACATCGGTCTGATGGTAGCACTCCCAAGGGAAGTACCTTGAAAAAGGCAAAAACTGGTACCGCAAAGGGTACCAGAACTTTTAGCTTCAGCATGGCTTTTGTCCATGAAGATCCGAAGGGATCGCTTTCGAAAGAGGAGGCGGGGCGAATCAAAGCCTGGATCCACGACAGTGTCGGCGCTTTGTCCATTGGGACGGTGGCGCCCAATTTCGCGGAGTGTCGTCACCGAGGAGGAGTGCTGTTGATCACATGCGCATATCAGGTATCGGTGGACTGGTTAAGGTCGGAGAGTAGCTCCGTGGGAGGGGGCGAAACTTCGATTCTTTGAACCGAAGAACCTCCAAAAACCAGTAAGAACACACGTCTGGATCCCCGGAAACCGGAGAATACGTTGAAAAGGATCGAAATCCAAAACGCTGGAGTTAGAACCAGCGATTGGCCTGTGGTGGACAGAAAGGAGGACCCCAAGGGACAAACTCTGGTTGTCCTTCTAGACCAAACTCCCTGGGATAAAATGGGAGTCACATGCAACCGTCGACCCTACGTGGTCTTCACCAGGGTGACTTTCAAACTCCTCTCTAAAGAACAACTTAAGACCTTCTGCAGAGGCACCTCTAAAAAGCATTATGCGGATCACTATGTAATTGGGCGTAACCCTGTTGAAGTCCCAGAACAAGAGAGGGATAATAAATAAATAAATACGCGGCATACAGGCTGAGAGTCATTGGTCAGGAGGGATCATGCCGGGTTGGGCACTCGCTCATCTTTGACGAGATCTCTAAAGATAAAACCCTCAACTAAAATAGTCCAACAAAACTGTTAAAGACAGTAAGGTAAGAGTAACAAAGGTTCGCCCTAACAAAATCTTGGACTTTGTTAAATAAAAGATACAGCTATTCTTGAAGGGTAGACAACACCGGGGAGAACAATAAACCAAAAGGTAGGAAACCGAGCAGGAACCCACTGAGATCATCCCCAAGTACAATAATAATAATAAACATTTAATTAAAACAAGCGTGTTTCAACCAAGGGCAACTTGATTAAACGCGCCAGAATAGTTACTTAACGTCGCTAGTGAAATAAGGTGATTGAATTTTGTTTGGGAATTTCGTAACCATATAGAGGTTATAGCTCTTTGGAGTTGAATAGACATTATTAGAAATTTAACGTGTAAAATTTGCCATTTCGAATTTACAACTCCATCAGTTAATTGTTTGCATCATTGTTATAAGGGCGCCGTTTTGAGCTTATTTTTTATCAACAGCGTTATCTAAAAGGACACACTGTTTACGAGGTCCAGCGATAATTATTTACTTATGTTTGAACGTGTTTAAGAAAAATTATCGTAATTTGCAGTTGATTGAAGTTTTAACAAAATTACTGAGGAAACTGTGGTTTCCTGAAGGCTTTGGGCAAATTTGAAGCCGTTTTGTATTGCGTGTATTTTCTTCTTCTTCTGGGGAGTCAAATTATTGGGTCGATATTCCTATTGATAGAATTGGTCTTTTGATCACACAATCTTTGGAGACTGAAGTAGACGACAATGGGATCATGCTGCTAGACGAAGAAAATTTGCAATTTCAGCAAGACGGGGGTCTGCCACATTATGCCCTGACAGCTTTAATATATTGGCAGAGGGGGTGCCATAGAATGGTCACCACACTCACCACGGTCTCCCGACTCGAATGCGCTGGATTTTTCCCTTTTTTAAAATTAACTATATTCAATCAAAACCTTAAATGTGCAATACTCAGTTATTAGGCACGCCAGGAAAGATGGGCATTTTATCTACTTGTTCATTTATAACCAGACTATCGAAATGATTTGGTGTATATTTTTGGAAAAATAATTTTATCGCTGAGCTTTCTCTAGATGAGGGGTGGGGGGATATTATAACAGTTGGGATAGCTGGGGTATTAGAGTAAAGCTTTCATTGAATGAATCGGAGATATATAAGACAAACTATAAAAGCAGCGACTAGTTTTGGTCAACGGTCATCTTCTGGCGTAAGGAAATTACAGAATAAAATATATAATAAGTAATAAAATTTTAAAATGTTTTATTCTGTAATTTCCTTAAGCCAGAAGATGACCGTTGGTCAAAACTAGTCGCTGCTTTTATAATTTGCCTATTAAATTAGTATGGGGAAGGTTTTGTGTCTTTTTGGGATTTAACGACTCTGTTTCCATTGAACTCCTTCGGCGTGTTTTTTGCAGTTGGTGATTTTTTGTCAATAAGTATTATACAAATAAAAATCGGTGAATCGCTTTGGAATGAAAACCCTGTATATTTATATAATATATTTTTTGAAAGTTATTTAGCGCGAAAGAAGATACATTTTAAAACCATTACTTCCCAGCCTTAAGCGAGTGGGTGTAAATGGAAACACGGGTCCAGCACCAACTAAAATTCTACGTTTTAAAATTTATAAAAAAAACAAAATAAAATCGTGTAACAATAAACAAAAAGCAATAAAGCAACCTACCTGTAATAATCCTCCTTACAATAAATATTTCCCTGCCTTGCAAAACAGGTAAGTTCAGAGTCCAATGGTAATTTGCATTCGCAACATTTAAGGCAGTGCCCGTGCCATTGTCTGTCAACAGCTAAAAGGTAGTATCTATCGTGAATTCGGGTTCCGCACCCCGCGCACGCCACCGCTTCAGCGGAACCGCCAATGTGATTTGAGCAAGGGGATTCTCCACTACGTTCGATGTTCTCACAGTCTTTTAACATTGCTGTTCCTTACTCATTTATTTGGTAATTTTAACGCCGCGCCGCCACGATCACATCGTTCACGAAACGCGCCGCGCACAGACACTCTCGAGGATGCTGCTGCAGATGAGCGAAGAAGGCGGCAAACGCGAATCTTGATTTTATATAGGATGCCCTGAAACAAAAAGGAATGGATTAATAATTACAGGTGTAATTATCGGCGCCTTTACGTGTAGGCACCGGAACTTTTCAAGGTATTGGCGGGCGCCTCGAGTATGTGGGAAAAGAGACGTCTTTAGACATGTCCCAACGGTAAAAGTAATTTGCACGCCGTAATACCTACCTACATTTTATAACAAAGTGTAAATGTAAACAGTTCGAGGTAATTAAGCTCGTCTCAAATATTAATCATTTTATCGATCTGTAATCCCAAACTGTGTCTGATTTCTGAAATTTCATCGAACGATATAATTAACGTTTTAAATTAAAATAAATTTCTCATTAGTCAAGTAATAAATTCTGCAACCTCCAGTCTTCATGAGATACTACAAAGTTAAAAATGAACAGTTTTGAAATCACTTTTTACGTATCAAATTGTTATTTAATTAATCAAGCCAAAAAACGACCTCCTTCCGCTTGTTTGTGCATGGATAGGGGCGAGGATAGGGGCGGAAATATTCGGGGTTGGGCCTCTGTTAAAAGAGAAACATTAAATTTGAGATTACTTCGCTGCGCAAGCGCTTAAAAATGTAGTTTACGCATGCGCACAAGTGACGTTAAAAAGAAAAATATGTAGTGATTTTACAACTTTTTAGAACCAAAACCTTTATTTGGTAAAATATTAGATTGACCCCCTAGAAATGCAAATATTTCCAAGAAAACCAATATTTCACAGATCGCAAATCTTAAAATACCACCCAACAGACACCTACCTCGCTAGCTCAAATTACACCATTTAGATTCTTTTTCATTTTCCATTTTTCCACGGTCGCGTTTATTTTTCGTTTTTCCTATTTATAGGAAAAACCACCTCCACTCATAAACTCCAAATCGTTGTTCCTCGGTCACACTCGTCGTTCCGCCACCATAGTCTGAACTCTAGACACCTGCATTGCTCATTTTACACGTAGCGTTGTTTATCGCAAAACCAATTAATTTCTGTCCGCTGACACCTTTTTACTCGCACAGTCATACCTAACCAGATTAAACATTACGATTACATGTTCCCTTATTTACGCGTTTTAAACTTATCATACAAACTAAATACAAGAAAAAGAATTAAACAATTACTAACTAAATTTACAATAAATAACTACCTTTAAAATGACAATTCAAAAAAATTTTCAAATTCCGTGTTTTGAAATCAAATTCCCCAGATCCTATGAAATAATAATGTAATAATTCGGGACATCGACTGCTATTTTCAATACTTAAACCGAAATTACGTTAACAACGCGTACTCTTTTTCACTACATGGTGGCTCGCTCTCATCTCCGGGATTGTTTTAACTTAGAGAAACGACACCCCCATGTACTTTACACAACAATATACAAAATCAAATGATTGTATCTACTCTTATTTATCAAAATTGTATAAAAAAAATCAAGAGGAACATGAGAACACAGAAAACATAAATCAAGTACCTTAGAAACAAGTGGTGCCAGGAGCGATCTGTAGAAGACAAAACTGTGATAGCAATCACCAGAAAAACTTCATTATACCAGAGCCGAAGGACGGCAAAATTAGTAGGTATTTGCCACAAAAGATCAATGGCGAAGATGGTGGATGATAAGGTGGTACCTTATACAAATTTTTTAAATAAAATAAAGATGGGAAGCTTTCGGCTGCCATCTCACAAAATGGTAACAGTTTCCGACCTCGTGCTTAGACATATGGTGACCATAAATGGCAGAGGTGACGTCTTTAAGCAACTTGATTAAGGAACGGAAGTGTAAATACAAAAGCCATAAAAGAATGTCACGTTTGACCGCGGCCTCAAAAGAAGAGCAACGGCCTTGAATTAATTTCCTGAACTTACAATACACAGTTTCTATATTATAGGAGTAATTAGCAAGTACGTTAGTAAAAGTATCAATTCTGCAAATAATTGTACTTTTAGTTGGAGGCGGCTAAATTACCAGAGAATGAAGATACTGGAACACTGTAACGGGACAACTGAAGTGCTTTTGAGGAATTTGGATACGCCACTTTCTTCTACAGGTGCTAAACTATTACCCTTGACTCTGCCAGATCCCGTCACACTACGACTTGGCGCACTTAGTTCAACATCGTTCAAATAGTGTTGCAGAAGTTCAATGTCTCCCCCAAAAGGGGACTGAAATCCAGAAAAAATGGTTTCCTGTAAAATCTGTTGATCTCGACAGAATTAGACAGAATTCAATAAATAATGGTAACATTATATCGAGATATTTATTCGTTTTTCTTCAAGATGGCGGCATTACCTACCTATAGCCTACAGTGCTCCTTTAGTTGCTAACCACCAACGCCAAGGGTAAATTACAATTTCAATTAAAGAACACTAAGAGGATAGCTGTTCAACTTAGCCAAAACAAAATCAATCCAAAATTTTAGTAACAATTGAATATCAATCGCCAACCCATAACCTTGAACTGATATAATATAATATAATATAATATAATATAATATAATATAATTAATAAAATAATATAATATAGTTCATTGTACCTTTTCTGATTGCATTTAAAATGCTATTCGGTTTCAGAAGTGCTCCTTCTATACCCCATCTCATAAACGACAGTTATTCCTTTAGGCTTAAAAATTCTGGTTTCAAATTTTACAAAATTGCCGGTAAAGGAAATTTTATACGTGTACAGATTCATAACAAAGGAGGGCGAACCTAATATGCGAAAGAATGAGGCGCGTTAAGCTAATAAACGAGTGTACAAGCAGATAAGTGTCAAAACGGCACAGTGTTGCCGGTTCTGAAAACCGCTCTGACGGAGCATGAGAGACGCACTCTCTACTATACCTTCACACGCGTAAAAAACAGGGTTGACGCTTGGTTTTCGTTTTGTTTCGGGTTTTTAATTCGGCGTGTACATAAATACAGTAAAAATTGGGTGGGAGGGAAGGATTCTTCGCTGAGACTTCAAGGTGAATCTATGTTAGTTGCGTGTGTAAAAGGGTTTCTCCCCCACCTTTCAAAACGTGAAATACGCATACACGTAAATCAGTAGTGGGAATTGACACAAATTTATACATTTACACGCACGTTTACGGTGAATCAATCATAGTTAAAGTCGCATTTCGATTAATGAAAAACTAATTGGAAAGCGAAAAATTAACCAATTTAGAAGTTTGCCCTTGAGCTCGTTTGACACTTTCAGTGTTCTAATAATAACTCAGATCGCCGAAGTAGAAACTACTTTGAATGCAGTCGGTATAAATAATAAAGTTCATTGCTCGATCAATCCCATATATGAAAAACTCAAGAAAAACTTCAACTGTATTTCCCCAAGAGATCGAATTTTCCATTTCTGTACTGTTCCGCTGTAAGGGGTCATTTTACCCTAAGGAAAATATTAATTTTCGAAAACACTTTAATTATAGTACCGTAATCTTTTTTGATTTGTATCAAAATAATGATCAGTTTTCTTTAAGATTAAATTTTAATGGAAGTAGAAAGTTAATTGTATTTAGTACAAGTATACAATTGCTACAACTCTTAATTGCTGTTGAGTCTATTTCTGTGTATTCTCACAATGGTCCATCATGGCTGCAAACTTGCTTGAAAGTAAGAGGAAAGGTGGTGATCAGAGGAATTCAGCATCTTGCGTAGGTGACGTTCTGAATGTTATCACGTAATGTATCCGTTGTAGCGTACGCTGACAAAATACCTCCAAAAAGCTCAAGTGAAGTGATACGCGACGATTTTAACGCGTAAAAGCAATGGGAAACAAAACTGTGCATCTCGCTTAGGTTGTCTAGACGTATGTAGAATTAGTTGTTTTGTCTCGACTGTATTTATTTGTTATTTGTAACTAATGTTTTACATATCTACTGACTACAGTTAATAAAATTCTGTAGTTTTCAAGCACTAATTTCGATATAACGGTTGCCAAAAGTTCGATGTTTACGCTTTACTCCTAATTTATACAAATCCTCACCATCAAGTGTAGTAATTTATTCTTCGACTACAACCTCAAGTTTATCCATTATGATAATAAAATGTCGCGAACGGAAATGCTTAATGTATTTCGTATCATTTGTTGGTCATGCTTAATTTAAGATGCAATCAAACGTTATTGATCGGCGATTAATTATATCGGTTTCGGATGAATTTATGCGAATAACACAGTGCGCTCAAAAGCAAAAAAATGGTCACATTAGCATTTTGTTGGCCTTAATCTTTGTCACGTAATTTATTTTGTTCGGTTGGTATGCCGTCTGAAATGGCTACGCGTGGAAATCAGCATATTAGGGAGCCCCACTCAACAATCAACACGAGGGAACGCGGAACGGCCGTTCAGTAGCGTGGATTTGCAACATAAGGGTTAGATAAGTTCGCACCCAAGGGAGATTTTTAGTTCTTTTTTAGCTTTTTTAGAGGTGCCCTGGAAAGGAAAACTGCAGGAAAACTTAATTCGGAGTAGCCAGCCGAATGCTCGAAAATGATCTAAGGAAATTCCCATCTCCGTCACAGATGATTCTCACCTCAGCTCAGGTTCGAACACTCGACCTCCGGCTATGTAGCCCAACGCTCTACCACTGAGCTGCATAGTCGGTATCCTAGGTGTCCCAGGTTGATTTCGATAGGCTCAGCCCTAACTTCTAAAACGGTATTTATTTCCGTGTAGAAGATAATTTGGGTGCTCAGTGTACTACGCGGGAGTGTGACTTTCTCAGGAACCCAACCAAGTTTGATGTTACAACTCGAGAAATCATAGGATGCTGAAATGGTATTAGAGCTGCCATCTGTTTACAGTTAAACGGAGTAGTCCTTTCAAGCAATATTGATAGGATTTTCCTTAATTTTTGGCCACTTCATCAATTCATTGTAATGCCAACGTATTAACCAAAAAATGTTTTCAGGTTACCGGTCAATCCAAATTGTGGTAGTGTACGTTTACATTGCGACACTTGACAATTGTTTGCTACCGGTTTCATTACTTTATCCCGTTTTGCTACATTAGC